GTATGGATTGAAGATTGTTTGCAGTTAGCATACAAATGCTGGCTCAAAGCTCATCTTTACTAACTGTGGCTTAAAGTTTGATTTGCCACAGGGTTACCCTTCACTGCAATCTTCTTCTGTCATCCACTCGCATGGCTCTGGTAATCTTTGGTAAACAGAAGATTTCCAAATATCTCTCTACAGCCTCCTTACAGAGGATCAGAGACATGTACCAATCTTTCCACTTAGTAGTCTTAAACGCATTTCAACATTCAAACCAGGATGTTTGCCTAGAATACTTCTGAGAATAAAACAGAATTCCATTAATAATTACACTAAGTCAATAGGTATGGACCAAGTCTGTCTGAGTAAATAAGTCACTCTCACAATTTTCTCAATACAAAACTGAAGTTCTGATTTTATGGTAAATATCAGTTTTATTCACAAACCTCATTCCTATACTATACTTCATTTAATTAGTTTATTTCACCTAAGCTACTTAATTTAGCCATATTATTGCAAACACTTCCTAATTGTCTCCTTATCAGAGTCTTGTCTTCTTTTTGAATAAGATAGATGGTTACAAAGCATGAGTCTTTGCTCTGTTGACTCCCTTTGCAGATTCTCATTGCCCAGAAATTTGACTTACAATAGCCTTAAGAAATGTCCTTGCCAAAGTGCCTTCTTTTTATAGGAGCAATGCCTTCTTCTTTAAATGTCACACTTCATTGTGAGTACTTATTTTGTTTCTTTAATTGTAATACATTTTCCCTTATGAGGATCTTCTACTTTTGGAACCCTCTTTGTGCTGTTTTAATTTTATTTATCTCCATTTTTAAGTCAGCTTTCCACTAAGATGCTACTTCTTTTAAGGAAGCTTTATCTGGACCTCTTTATCTATGCCAGGTAGCGGATATCTTTTTACTTACCATGGCATCAGTTATGTGGTCTTGTGATGGTAGCCATCTCTCTTGGATAGCAAATTCAGTAAGAATGAAGAGGGAGCTTGTTTTATTGTTGCATAACAAAGCCATGTTGGTGTGCATACAGACCTAACATGGAATTAATTGCTTAGAATACTCATGATAATAAAATCTTACTTTCACTATCATTTGATACGCATGTTAGTCTGAGTCCTTTGCATTCATTAACTCCTTTAAAATAATTTCCTTCTAAAGGTGGTAAATCATTATAATTATTTTATAGAAAATATCTATAAAGCCTAGAGGAATGAAACAACTCACCCAATACCATATAGCAAATAAGTGACAGACCCAAAATTTCAACTTGGCCTCTGGACCCACATGTTTAGCATAACACTCACGCCTCTGTGATGAGAAGGAATGGGAGAGCAGGAATCTGCATGATCAATAGGAATACCGAGGAAGTTGTAAAGCAAAAGCAAAACCAGCATAGTATCAGAGAAAGGGATTCAACTATAACCTATAACGACAGTAAAGTTGTTGATTTTAATTGTTTAATCAGTGTTTTGATGAATTAGTAGGTGACACAACACATTATTAGTGTATTGTGTACATATTCTTAGTAGTTACATACATGGGTGCATAACAGCTAATACTATGCATTATAATAAATGGAAATAGAATCCATGGGTAGAATGTGTTTGACTGCTAACTAAAAAGTTATAGGCTCAATACACTCAGAGCTTCTGCAAAAGAAGCAATTTGTAAGATAAAAAAAAGGTAATCTAATGTAAAATCAAGAAAAAAGATGATACACATTTCCATTTATTTTACTACTTAATAATATGAACCCAATAATGTCGTACAGTAACTGGGACAATGGGGGTTGGTGTATCAGAATTAGTGAGACTGGCTTAGGACAGGGCAGAATTCAGAGCTGCTGTCCACAGGGTTGCTATGGATCACAGGGAATTTGATGGCACATAACAACAACAACAATAATGTCTTATCATCAAATATCATTTCATAAGTTTATTTTTGGTGTCTGAATGACATATTATTTGGCTGAATATATCGTATTATGCATACACCATGTTATTTAATGAATTTAGTTGCATCATGTTAGCTTTAGAATAGTGTCTTCATTCCTGAATGCATTACAATCAGGTGTGACAATCTGGAAAATGCTGATGTCTATGTTTCAAATCCAGAGATTCTGATTGAATTGATCTTGGGTATAGTATTACATTGATTTTAAAGTTCCCCAATGGCTCTAAGGTGCAACCAAGGCTAAGGACACTTAGTGATAGAAAACACAGAAGGTGAATAATTCTTAGAATCAGATGGAATTTGTGTGTACCCTTTATTTGGTATCAACACACTCATCCAGAATTGCTGAACAAAGTAAAGCTGACGCTTTTCACAATTTTGATATGTTGTTGTTGTTGTTATGTGCCATCGAGTCGTTTCCGACTCATAGTGACCCTATGCACAACAGCTCTAAACCCTGCTCTATCCTGCGCCAACTGCACCGCCTCTGACACACCCATCCTGATTACCCCAGTCACCAAATCAATCCATCTAATAGAGGGTCTTCCCCTCCTGCTCTGTCCCTCCACCCTCCCAAGCATGATGTCCCTCTCCAAGGACCCGTCCCTCCTGGCAACATGTCCAAAGTATGTCAGACGAAGCCCCAGAATCCTTGCCTCCAAGGAGTAGCTTGGTTTAATCCTCTCCAAGATGAATCTGCTTGTTTTTCTGGCAGTCCATGGTACATTCAGTACCCTTCTCCAGCACCACAACTCAAAAGCATCCACTCTCCTTCTGTCCTCCCTAGTCATTGTCCAACTCTCTGATGCATAACAAGCGATTGCAAATACCATGACCTGTATCAGGGGCACCCTAGTCTCCAGAGAGACACTGTTGCTCCTGAGTACCTTTGAGAGGTCCCTAACGGCAGACTTTCCCATCGCGATACGCTTTTTGATTTCCTGACTGCTGGTACCAAGAGTGTTGACTGTGGAGCCGAGCAAAGTGAAGCTGTGAACACTCTCAATCTCTTCGTCATCCATCCTGACGCTGCCAATTGGTCCAGTGGTGAGAATCTTTGTCTTCTTGACATTGAGCCTTAGTCCATACTGAAGGCTGCAGTCCTTGACCCTTCGCAGCAAGTGCATGAGGTCCTCCTCAGTTTCAGCAAGCAGGGTTGTGTCATCTGTGTAACGGAGATTGTTAATAGATCTTCCACCAATCCTGATGTCACAATTCTCCTCATAGAGCCCAGCCTCTCGAATAATCTGCTCTGCATACATGTTGAAAAGGTATGGAGACAGGATGCATCCCTGGCGTACACCCTTCCCTATTTTGAACCATGCAGTGTTACCCTGCTCTGTTCTGACTACTGCCTCTTGGTCCAAGTATAGGTTTCGTATTAGCACAATTAAATGTTCTGGGATTCCCATTCTTCTCAGAGTCAGCCACAGTTTGTTATGATCCACACAGTCAAATGCCTTTGCATAATCAATGAAACACAGATAGACATTCTTCTGGTATTCCCTGCTTTCAGCCAAGATCCATCTAACATCAGCAACGATATCCCTAGTACCACGACCCCTTTGATATACATGAAGAATTATTTTGCTGCAAATAATTTTTGGACTCTGTGTATTATTATTTGTGCTATGACTTTTCTACATTAAGTAATATACAATGCTGTTGTTGTTATGTGCTGCCGAGTTTCCTGTGACTCATAACGATTCTATGTGCAATAGCCCTAAACCTTGCTCTATCTTGTTGCACTATGATTTTATCTGACACAGCCATCCCCGTTACTCCAGTCACTGAATCAATCCATTTCATCGAGATTCCTCCTCTCTTGCTCTGTACCTCCACCCTCCCGAAAACAATGTCACTCTCCAATGACTGGTCCCTCTTTTCAACATCTAAAGTATGCCACTAAACTTCAGAATCTTTGCCTCCAAGGAGCCGTCTAGTCTCACCCTCTCTAGGATGAATCTGTTTTCCTGGAAGTTCATGATATATTCAATACTCTTCTTCAGTACCACAGCTCAAATGCATCAATTCTCTTTCTACCATCTCTAATCATTGTACAGTTTTCTGATGCATAGCAAGTAACTGCAAAGAGTATGGCCTGGATCAGGTGCACCTTAGTCCCCAGACTGATATTGTTGTTCTTAAGTACTTTGGAGAGGTCTCTGACAACAGACTTTCCCAGTGCAATTTGTCTTTTAATTTCCTGGATGCTGGTACCAAGAGTGTTGATTGTGGAGCCAAGCAAACGAAAGCTGTTAACACTCTCAATCTCTTCACCATTCATCATGATGCTGCCCATCTATGGGCCTAGCGGTGAGAAGCTTTATTTTCTTGATGTTGAGCTTCAATCCATATGAAAGGCTGCAGTCCTTGACCTTCTACAGTAAGCACTTCAAGCAGGGTTGTGTTATCTGCACAACACAGATTGTATACAATTTAATTTTTTAAAAAATATTGACATAGGATTGTGAATAAGATTTTAAGCTTAATGACCACGTTAAAATTATGCAATTTACCCCAATGAAGTCTGTATCAAATAGTCAATTAGTATCTCCTTAATTTAAGAGTTCGGTTGGACTTCTTACAGGAAATAGGCTGCTAAATCTTTGTCCTGTAGCGTTTGAACCACTAATCATTGCTGAGCAGCTAGGCACTTTAACCCCTGTGCCACCAATGTAAATTATCTTTTTATTATGTCTCCATTAATGTTTTTATCTAAAAGGAATTATTATTTCTACAATTTTGGGGGAAATATTTTTGAATGATCTGTGATAAGAAGAATATTTCTTAGGAAGATGAAGTGAATTTGCAGGGAATTTTTTTCCTCACCCAGAGAAGTTTGTGTCCTTGAACATAAAAGACAAATAACCCTTGCTATTAATTATTGGCAAATTGCCCCTCTTGCAACCTAAGGAAAAGCTGTTACGGATGTAACAACAGAAGTTACTGGTTAACAGATATTGGTTGAAAAGGGTATAAAAGAACTTCAATGTGGGTTTTCCATATTCTGCTTCCACTATCTCCAATCAGAAGAAACTAGTGACCATGAAGTGGGTGGTAGCAGTTTTGCTAATGCCCCTGCTAAATTCTACTTTAGCCAGAACCCTGCATATAGATGGAATGAGTAAGTTATTTTGAATAATTTTGCCTTTTCTCTGTATTGAAATGATTAAAAATGCTTAATTTTGTGTTTACTCATTTATGTTTAGAATAATTGATTGCATTTCTTTCTCTACGCAGAATATATTTAATTGTTGGACATATTTAAATGAAAAACTTTATCCTGTAACTTTAACTTATCTTTATGAATGTTTCATATGCTCTGTGTTGGGTTAATTTTATGTACATTATTTGTTTAATTGGTGTATGTTTTGACTTTGTAAAATGTACAGATGTATGTCAGACTATTATCCCGGCTCCTTCATGCATACAACTTCTTTAGCTTGATACAATGAGTAATATAGGGAGCTCTGGTGGCCTAGTGGCAAGAAACTGTACTGCAATCCCAGAGGTACACGGTTCAAATCCACCAGATGCTCTGCCGGAGAATGAGGGAAAATTTCCCTCCGGTACCAGTCAGATCTGATTTGATGGTACACGCACAACAATGAGTAATATATTCTCCCCATGCCCCCTTCCCTCATTGAATAAAATTGTTCATTATTTGAGTATCTGAGCAAGAAACATTATAGCACACAAATTGTGGTGTGATTATGTTGAAAAGGACTAAATACTTTTCTGGCCACTTGAGTTTCAAGCTAATTAGAACTTCATAGTACATGGGAAAACTAAATAAGGGGTTAGAAAGCCTATATTTACGTGCTACCATAGCTAAGGATTATTCTTACTGATTTTGTTTCCTTAGTTTCTGAAGTACAAAGTTGCAATGATTCTTAATGTCTTCCCAATTATAAAACTGCATAGTTTTAACTTTAGAAACATTTACATATAAGAATGATTCCACTTCTGGTTTCAGGTGAAAAAATATCTTTTTTCATAAAATGTTATTTTCTTTTTCAGGTTCAACATTGACTCCTTCCCAGTGTTCAGAGATGAATTTCATTGACCTGTAAGTTTTATTCATCTAAATACAATATAGATAAGCTAAGCAATGATAATTTTAATAAGGTTAAACATACTGAGATTAGGGAAAAAAATGCAAGTTGAACAATTCCTGTAAAACTTATTCATAGGAGATAGAAATTGATTTTGAAGAAGTTAAACTGCTGGCCAATGTTTTAGGGTTTAACTTTTAAATTCCATGAACCAAACCCAAATAGTCCAAATGAGTAGTGAATAAATGAGATCAGATCTTAAAAAAATGAAAACTAGTTTGGAAACTGGATGAAATAATCAATACATTTTTCCCATTAAAACCAATATGATGATGTGATTGTATATTCTGCACACTACATTCTAGAAGCAGATCAGGGTGTTTGCTTCATAACTGAAGCTTTGCAATTGTTTGCATTGAGTATGATGTTCTCTTGCAGGCTGTACTTCCATTCTATATTTCTAAAGTTCTGGTAAGAAATTTAAGGTTGCATGATGGTGCTGCTGTTTGGTGCATCATATTCTGTACAAACAGAAGACAGAAAGCAAACAAATAAATCTGTTTCAGGAAAACAAGTTTTGTTAAGTATGTACCATAAACAACTACATGTGTTTTTGTTTCAGAGCTACCATATTTTTTGCCCAGTTTGTTCCAGAGGCCCCTTATCAAGAAGTTAGCAAAATGACAAAGGATGTGTTGGCTGCCATTGAGAAGCCCCCTGGCAGCGAGCAGCAAGCAGGGTGCTCAGAAAACCATGTGAGTGTGTCATGAAACGAAGCGCCGCGATGTTTGGGGGATGAGATGGATGATACAGGAAGTCAGGAGAGATGATACTTTTAACTATTTGAGGAAGTACTATATGGATGAAAGATTAGATTAATTCTGATTACTTCAGAGGATAGAAGAGAAAAAAAAATGGCTAGCTATTGTTAAAAGACAATAAACCTGATGACTAAGGATTAAGCTTCTGAAAAAGAAAGATTTTTTGTTCTTGTGTACATTATTTAACTTATTTGAATTTCAGTTTCTCTATCTATAAAACAAGGAATAATAATGGTTTCCATTCCAGGGTTGTCATGGAGATTGCTATAATAATAGTAGCTCATTTTCATTATGAGTTCAGACATCATGAAATGGCACAGGACATGGAATCAGGGTCAATTCAATGGCAATGAGCAACAACAATTTTTTATTAAACACTGACAAAATGAAGCTCATTAGTCTAAGGGTTTACGTCAGTACATACAACATGAAACTAAGAAATTGGAATGAATGAATGTCCAGTAAGTCAGAATCTCCACCTGGGATTTGGTGGCAGAATAACAGCTATGCCTACAAGCCTTAATTTCTTGAATTTTCACAATAATTCTGAAAGCCGGATGCTAATTGTGCATTTGTGGAAGGTGAGGCACAGATAGACCAAGCAACTTCCTTAACAGAGCAGCAATGGTAGAACCATAGCTAATCCAAGCATGCTGGCCCCTGGACCAACTCTCACAGTGTCTTCATAACATGCTACTGCCACTGGGCTACAGTAAGTGAGAGGTCCACAACACTTAGTCAGTGTTAGCAAATGAAGCCACTAAGATGCAGTACTCATTTAGATGGAATTTCTGATGAATAGCAAGTATATTTGAGTATGAGATGTCCAGTGTTTACTTTATCTCAATATATTAACTAAATGTATGATGATTGCTAACAGTACTGTTGAGTCAACTTTGATTCATAGCTATCTCACATGACAGAACTGGATTGCTCCATAGGTTTTCTAGCAGATCGTCAGGACTTTCACCTGGGGAGCCACTGAGTGCATTTGAATTGTCAACCTTTTTGTCAGCAGCCAAGTGTTGATGATAATTGTTGTTGCCTCACTTTGCACAAATGAGGAACTAGTATCTTGCTCCCAGAATTACTGTGAAGATTCAAGAAAGCAAGGCTTGTAGGCATAGCTGTTATCCCATTATCGTGTTATTTATAATAATTGCAGTGATCCAGTCAACTCTGACTCATGGTCATCCCATGAACCACAGATCAGAACCTTGGCACGTCTTGTGCGGTCCTCATGATCGTTGCCATGCTCAAGCCCATTGTGATAGTCACTGTGTCAATTCATTTTGTGGAGGGTCTTCCTCTCTTTCGAGGACCCTCTTTCTTTCTCTGCGTGATGTCTCTCTTCAAGGAACTTCAATTATGAGAACCCTGGAAGCCTATTTTACAGGGAGTTAGGCAGCTGCCACAAAGGCTGTGTGTTTCTGGTGGTTTGAATTCTTGGGCAAAAGATGGATTATCTCCTCCTGTGTGATTTACATCCTCAGAAACCAGATGGAGGATCAACTATGAGTCAGTGCTGACTCGATGGTAATGGGACATCCAATTGTAAAACTAAATACATGCCTATTTTATGATAAACTAGTTTTGCCCAATAGCCATGTATATTAAATAAAGTGGGAAGGAAAATTTCATTTTCAAAAGGCATATAAAAATGATCTCATTAGGCTGAAAGTAAATATATTGACATTTTTATGGGGAATTATCTTTCCAATCTGCAGTTCATATTTTGGATATTAGAAAACTTTTCAGTGTTGTAATGGAATTCAAAGTATATTATTATTAAAACCAATCTTTTTCTGTAGCTATCTGCTTTTCTGGAAGAAATTTGTCACGAAAAAGAAATCTTTGAAAAGTATGGGCTTTCAGATTGCTGCAACAAAAGTGAGGAGGAAAGACACAACTGTTTACTGGCTCACAAGAAGGCTGCCCCAGCATCCATTCCACCCTTCCAGATTCCAGACCCTGTCACAGGATGTAAAGCATATGAAGAAAACCAGGGGATGTTCATGAACCGGCAAGTATCCAATTTAAAGACAGGTGGGAATCCAGAAAAGGGAGCAGATTCTAGCACTTTTGCCATTGATAGATACACTAAAAAGCACTTAGACAGACAAAGGTTTGATGCTGGTCTAGGAAATTAGAAGTTTACTTTATTTTCTTTTTCATTTTTGTCTGAAAGTCCAAGACAAATTTCATTTATAATAACACTGAGGGCTTTCCCCTCTTCTAGCTAACATTATTAAACCTTAAGTTAGAGGGAAAGGGATTAAATTCAAGTTTAACTTTGCTTCCACCATGTGCTAGCTGCAGCATAGCCCACATACTGGACCCACCAGCTATCCTTTAATTCCTCAACATATATCTTGTTACTCTTCTCTGTTTGAAGCAGGAGTGACATCTGCTTCCTAAACAACATGCCTCTGGAAACTCCATGACATTTTGAGACATGACGATAGTTACAGAAAGTTTTCAGGTCTTTTGTTCATAGGGTCGCTATGAGTAGTGCTTGACTTCACGGCAATCAACCACCATCACCACGAACACCAACACCACCTCTTCTCTAATCCTTTTTCACTTGCTCAAGAATATGTTAGTATCACACAAGATGACTCTTGACTCAGTCGAAGTAGTGGTGTTCTGGGTTCATTAAATTGCTTCGAAGTAAAAAAAATAATAACATAAGTAAGCAATGCTTAAGATTACTGAACCTGTCAATATTTATTGAGCACTTAAGATGTTATAAAATGAACATTTGTGCTTGACATGCATGATTTGATAAATGCTAAAAAGCAATGTTTGAGATCTCCTTCTCTTCTTCATCCTCAGTATTCTTCCCTTTTGCAAGTGAGGAAACTAATAGAAAGTGAAGGCAATTGGCTAGGCCCACACAGTTAATGTGCTGTTAAACGAAGATCTGAACCAGCTTCTCTGTCAGCAAAGGCTGCATATAACTCCTAATCATTTTTACCTTTCATGTTACTGTCTAGACTGTCAATAGATAGCTGCTTTAGACCATTTTGGCTATGGAGACTACCAAAGTCTATAACTCCATCTTTCCCCCCGCCCCCTTGTTATGTATCAGATCCTCCTGGTACAGGAGGAGATTTCCAGTCCTTCTGCAGCAGAGCATCTGGTGGGTTTGAACTGCACACCTTCGGGATTGCAGCACAACTTCTTCACACTAGGCTACTAGAGCGCTCCTTTCCAGTTAGTTTCTTTCTCTCTTTCTCTTTTTCTTTCTTTCTTTCTTTCTTTCTTTCTTTCTTTCTTTCTTTCTTTCTTTCTTTCTTTCTTTCTTTCTTTCTTTTCTTCCTCCCTCCCTCCCTCCCTCCCTTCCTTCCTTCCTCTCTCTTTCTCTCTTTCTTTCTTTCTTTCTTTCTTTCTTTCTTTCTTTCTTTCTTTCTTTCTTTCTTTCTTTCTTTCTTTCTCTCTCCTCTATCTCTCCTTCCTACCTTCTCTCTTTCTCTCTCTCCTTCCTTCCTTCTCTCTTTCTCTCTTGCTCTCACTCTCTTTCTTTCTTAAAAAAATCCACTTTTTTGCTTTATCAGGTTTTTCAAGAGGATCTTTAACTTGGTGTATTGAGATAGCATACAGGGGAGAAAACACACAAAACACAGCACAAAAACCCCAAAACGGTTTTCCCCTTAGAAACACTTTTTAAGAAATTTGACACTTTAAACAAGTTCCAGAACATAGTACCAAGCAAAAAAGACTATTTTTTTCATTGCTTCTTAATCTATTTTATTTTGCAGATATATCTACGAAATAGCAAGAAGGCATCCTTTCCTATACGCGCCTACAATTCTTTATTCGGCTTCTCACTATGACAAAATCATTCCACAGTGCTGCAAAACTGAAAACGCTGTTGAATGCTTTCAAACAAAGGTCTGTTTGTGTGGATTGTTTGTTAATATACTAACCATTGATTTCGTCTAGGTCTAGAGCTCATTAGAATGAAACAAGGTTAAATTAAAACTATACTTTTGTGTGCTAAGTATTGTTTTCTGAATAGATCATATCTCAACAAATTTATTTTCTTGAGGCTAAAAAAATGGATTTTCTGGTTTTGCATTTCTTTCATTCATTCATTCAGCTAACAATTAATTATTCAGTAAGTATGTTGGGTACAATTGAAAAGAATAGACAGAGAGAGATAGTAAAAGTGTAAATGAACAGGGTAGGATGTGAAAGAAATTTAAGATGGAGAAGGAACAAAAGGGAAAAGAGGAAGAAAGAGAAAGTAAAAGAATAGTGTTATGTGATTAATATATTTTCTTTTAACATTTTTAACAATCTTGGCTTGTAAATAGTATTCTAATTTAACAGAGAGCTAGAATAAAATAATCCACAATTTATCACTTACAATAAAAATGACTAAAGAATTGTTAGCGTTCTCAAAATGTCAAACTGGCGGGCAATTTTACTATTTACGACTAAGCATAGTTTGAATAATCCAATTCCTAGTTGGACAATGACTAGGGAGGACAGAAGGAGAGTGGATGCTTTTGAGCTGTGGTGCTGGAGAAGGGTACTGAATGTACCCTGGACTGCCAGGAAAACAAACAGATTTATCTTGGAGAGGATTAAACCAAGCTACTCCTTGGAGGCAAGGATTCTGGGGCTTCGTCTGACATACTTTGGACATGTTGCCAGGAGGGACGGGTCCTTGGAGAGGGACATCATGCTTGGGAGAGTGGAGGGACAGCGCAGGAGGGGAAGACCCTCTATGAGATGGATTGATTCGGTGACTGGGGTAATTGGGATGGGTGTGTCAGAGGCGGTGCGTTTGGCGCAGGATAGAGCAGGGTTTAAGGCTGTTGTGCATAGGGTCGCTATGAGTCGGAAACGACTCGACGGCACATAACAACAACAACAACAGATGTCTTAAAACTGTTTACTAGAACAGTTACATACTAATTATTTCAAATAAGAAAATAATATTTTAGTTTTCAAATTATTAATAAAGCAGTCTATTATAGGTGCACAACTAACACAGAATCATGAACAAGTGGATAAAATGCTAAATAAATACATCATGCCAATAATTTTAGTAGAAAATCTTTCTTTTATCTAGCTTTTGGGTTTCTAATTACTAGACTTTATTAAGGAAAGTATATAATTTTTTTACATTCTTTTCTTTTATAGTCAGCACCAATTACAAAAGAATTAAGAGAAAACAGCATGTTAAATCAACATGTATGTGCAGTAATGAGAAATTTTGAACCCCAGACCTTCAAAGACATGTAAGTTTGAACCATGCATCCATATTATATGTCTGTGTATCTATGTATCTATCTACAAATCTGATGTATTTATCTAAGAAAGAAGATGTGATCTGCAGTACTACCCTAATTCTCTATATTGTCTCTCCTGTTTTATCCCTGCTGTAGAGAATGAGGTCATCTTTAGGGAGAACTCATGTATAGACCCAGTCCTTGGAGAGGGACATCATGCTTGGAAAGGTGGAGAGACAGCACAGGACAGGAAGACCCAGGATGAGATGGGTTGATTCAGTGACAAGAGAAATATGATTAGCTCTGTCAGAGCCCATGCTTGGGAGGGTGGAGGGATGGCGCAGGAGAGGAAGGCCCTCTATGAGGTGGATTGATTCAGTGACTGGGATAATTGGGATGGGAGTGTCAGAGACAGTGTGATTGGCACAAGACAGAGCGGAGTTTAGGGCTGTTGTACATAGGGTCGCTATGAGTCGCAGGTGACTCGACGGCACATAACAACAACAACAACTGTCAGAGACAATTAGACAAGTGGCTCAGGATGGGGCAGGTTTCAGAGCTAATGTACATAGGGTTGTTACAAATTGCAGGTGACTCGATGGCGCATAACAACAGCAACAATGTACAGAGTTTTAAAACTGTAATGTAACTAGCAGATTTCCTGTTTGTTATTTAACATTTCTAAAGCCTGCCTAAGGTATTAATTATTTGAAGAAGATTTTTAAAGATAATGCTACTTTTCAACCTATTTAGATACTCTTAATTTCCAGATTCTTAACAAATTATTCGTCATCACTATATGATGTATGCCTAGGCTTCATTAAGTATAATTTGATACTTTTCAGTTTGTAAGAACCTTTAAATATTAATTCTGTTTCTTAATTTGTGCTAAGTTCCATTATATTGACAAATATTTCCTATGAAAACATTCACTTGAGGAGATAATATTAGACTGAAATATCAAGAGAGAAAAAAGTTATCTTAGTTGTTGCTAAATGTCAATGATTTGGCTGTGACTCAGAATAACCTAATACACAACAGAAGAAGTAACATTTATTTCCTTATTTGATAATATTGGGTTGTAGACGATTCACAACGACCCTATGAACAAAAGTCTTGAACACGAAAAGCTTCCAGAGGCAAGCTATTTTGGAAGGGGATGCCATTCCTGTTTCTGAGCCTGTTTTAGTTCCATGATCTTTAATCCAGTAAAATTTCTTTCCTTGTCCTGATTTGCTGGAAAGCTCAGAGGCAAATTGGAAGCCTTTTGGTTAACTTTATCAACTCTTACACTTACATATTTGCTGTTGTTCTTTCTCTTAATTATATCATCTATCTGTCTATCCACCCATCTATCTATCATATGTTTACCTATCCTTGTTTTAAAAACAAAATGGAAATGGGAAGAATCTGGTGGGACATGAAAAGATTGGGTAATGATGGACAAGGTCCAATGGTGATTGATTTTATAAACCATATGCATGAAAATGTATGAAACACAATATAAATGAAGAATAGTATGAAACAAAATGTATATAAAATTTGTGAGCAAATCAATATAAAATAAAAAATAAATTTAGAAAAGCAAACAGATCCTCTAATTGTCACTTCGTTTTTACAGGAACGTAACCCATAGTCCAGAGAATTTAAATAACTTGTCCAAGACTGCATTGCTGATCATTAGAACCCAGTTGTTGTAATTCCATGTTGTGACCATTTTTCTTAACTTTCTCCTTATGATTTGAATGAACATTTTGCAGAACAAATTGTTCTGAACAAAGGTTTTTTATTTGATAGTTCAGCACTTTCTGGTTCATGACTCATGATTTTCTTTCATTACAGCTGTCTTTTTACTATGTTGTTGTTGTATACTGTCAGACCTGATCCATAGCTGACCCTCTGGTGGGTTTCCAGAGACAGTTACAGCAAGGGAGGAAATTTCCAGTCCTTCTCTTGCAGAGCAGCTGGTAGCCTCGAACCATTTGTCTTTAGGATTACAGTGCAGCTTCTTGCCACTCGGCCACCAGTAGTGTTTACTGTGATCTCGAAGTGTCTGCACCTTACAAAGACAACAATGACACTGTATATATGAATAAATTACTAAGGTCCAAAGCTTTGCTCTTCAATATAGTTAGCCGCTATATATAGCCACTAGTTACATGTGACTCTTGAGCATTGGACATACAACTACTGTAACTGAAGAATCGTGCTACAAATGTAAAATACATACCAGTGTGAAAACATTTAGTATGGAAAAAAAAAGAACACAAGATATCTCATTAACTGGCTTTCATTTTGATTATATTTAATTTTTTTTTTACTTTTTAGTTTTCCCCACCCCTTTTTATTTTTTTAAAAAATATGTCCATTAGATTATTTTAAAGCGCCAGTGGCCCAATTAGTGATAAGAATCTGCAGTTCAAATCCACTCCGCTGCTCCACTGGAGATGCGTGAGCAACGTCCTCTCGTGTGATTACTGCCTCTGAAAACCCTCTGGAGGGTCAGCTGTGGATCGATTCTGATTTGACAATACACAGCAACAACATCACGTAGCTCATAGCGCATATTTATTAGAGAGTGCTGGCTTAAAATACTTTTCAACTTTATTTTATGATAGAATATTCATAGTAGAAGAAAGTATTGAGATGTGAGTGGAAGATTATAAATACTATTAGGTTTATAAATTCAGATTTTGAAATTTACTTATTTGTTAAATAACATTTAAAATATCATACATTGCTGAGACATTCATGGAGTGAATAGACTGAAATTTCATCTTGGAAGAGGTCAGGTTTAACCTTTTCTATTCTATTTATTTCTATTGGTGTAAATTGTTAAGCATTTGGCTTTTTTTAGTGGTTCAAATCGACGCAGAGACACCATCAAAGCAAGACTTGGTGCTGTGCTTCTGAAAGACCACCTGTCAGAAAGAGATCAACTCTGATGCATGTGAGATTGTCCATAGTAGGAACTGACTCAGTGACAGACAGTTATCAGAAACTCATGACATCATTTATCTAAATTTATTCTACTAACCAAATTTAATGAAGAGATTCTTATAACAGCTTCATAGTTGGCTATCCATAAGTGACTTAGGTTATATTTTTTCAGTTTATGAAGACAACCCATCACCATCAGCACATACTGTTCTAGGGAGCAGGGATTTCATACAGAAATCACTTCAAATATAATGAAATATGGAAATTTCTTCTCACTTTTTTGCCATAATACCTGTCTAAAATGCTTAGATAGCCCAAACATTCCCATTACATGGATTTACACATATGTGCACCTTCTTGGATACTTAGAAGTATTTTGTTTTGTTTTAGTATTTTACTGTTCTCATAGAATTTTCCCTTTCTTATTTACTTTATTCTTTTACGCTTTTACTATATACTCATTGTTGTTGTGGTTGTGTACCTTCGAGTCAGAACTGACTCAGCTGAACCTCCAGCATGCTTTCAGAGGCAGTAAATTGTGTGGAAGAGAATGCCCAGCTGTCTCAGCAAAGCAGCTGGTGGATTCGAACCGTGTGACTCCATGATTGCAGCGCAGCTTCTTACCACCAGTAGGCCACTAAAGCTCATATGTTCTTTTATAATCGCGACTGTTCAGCATCAGAAATGAACAGCAAAGAAGGTTATATGTAATCTTAACCCTAAGAGATACTTTTTAGTATGCTCAACTATTTGTGGTGCTAGATCATAGACTAAAGAGTCATTGCCTGGAAAATTGGTCTGTGACTGAGAAGACTGACAAGGCTTTTTCTTTTTGCTTTTTTTTTTAGGGGGTGTGGGTGGGGGTCAGGCATACCATACTCTTTTTTTTTAACATTTTATATTGGTTTGCATACAAAATTCATATACAATGTGCTTCACACTATCCTCCCTTGGGCACAGTGATACTATCAACGTTCTTTGAGCTTTTTGTATAGAGGGAAATGAGATTGATTTCTGAGTCTTTTTGTTTCTTCCTTCCCCCCCCAGATCTATTGCTAAAATGAGCCAGAAGTTTCCCAAAGCGAATTTTACTGAGGTTCAGAAGTTGTCCGAGCACTCCGTGCACATCCACAAGGAATGCTGCCGAGGAAACGTGCTGGAGTGCCTGCATGATGGGGTGAATCCTCCAGCTTCTGAAATGTGACCTTTTCCATGGCAATCCCCCCCCCCTTTTTTCTGTTACTTAGATGGGAAGTGGTTCCAGGCAACAGCAGATAGTGAACTAAGTGCAGTCAGTGACAGACCTCCTGTTCCTGCAATTTAAACTATCTTGATCTGCTTTTCCCTGAAGAAAGGACTTTGTTTTGTGAGGTGGTTGCAGTCTTCGTCGTCGTCGTCTTTATTGTATACCATTGAGTCAGAGCAGACCCACAGCTGACCCTTCAGCAGATTTTCAGATGCAGTAAATCCTTTTGGGAGAAGATTGCTCATCTTACTCTCTCTGTGAAGCTAGTGGACTTGGCCCTCTTAGCTTTTTTTTCCATGGTAATTCCTTACCATGAAGCAGTTATTTTTTTCTTTACTCTAAAAATGCACTTTCTGGAGAACTCCTCTCAGGATTTTGAGGAATGGACTTGTTCTTTTTAATATTTGTTCTTGACTTGACTAGTATTCATTGAGTGCTTTCCATGTGCTAGCCACTGTAAGTGACACCCCGTACCTCCAGGCGTTTATAGTCTGATGGCATAGCTAAGAATAGCTAAGATATGTGACCTCCTGCGTGGGACTGTTGGTCAGTTGCTGTTCCGTGAATAGAGAGAAATGTGAAGGGAGGACTTAGGGAAGAAGAATTGGTCACTGCAATCTTCACTACTTCCCTTATTTATTTTTTTCCTTCTAGAAGTTTTTGCATGCGTATCAGGGGTATCATGAAGAACTATTTTATTTTTCCTTTAGGTCAAGTTCTTTTAGACTTTTTCACTGATGATTTTACTGGCTTATAGTCATTAAAATGTTTTTTTCAATTTTTTTACCTCACAATCCCCTCCTTACTCTAAAGTAGAAAACTGTATTTCAACCCAGCATATAAATTGAATTATAATAGTTAATGAGTTGTAATTGTTCCTAGTGAGAATGCACAGGATTCCCTCCCCCCCCCCCCCGGGAGCTCTGGTGGCTTAATAAGTAAGGAATTGTCTTACCAACCCAAAGCCAGGTGGTTTGAATCCACCAGCTGACCTCGCTGGAGGGTTAGATATAAATTGTTTCTGACTCCAAGGCTTGAGAGTTTTGTAGTTTTTTTGGTAGCAAGCAGATTCTTTACCCTTCCCAGTTTCTATTTACTGCCCTCTGGAGGCCACAGTGATTCACTGCAATTTGCTCTGATGGAGCAGAAAGTTTGCTCCTCAAGCTGCAAAAATTGTGGAGTAACAAAAATTGAATATTAATAGAAAGATACGCAGGAACTAGTGTGTCTTTTGATTTAAGAAATATTCTTATCTTTTGTTTAAAAGGTTACCTATAAAAGTAACGTGCTATGAATAAAATTAAGCAATTGGTGGAAGCTGAATATAAAGTGGCAAAAAGGAAGGCGATTCTTCCTTCTCGGCTCATTCATTCATTCCTCTCTTATTTCTTCTTTTCTCTTTCTTTCATTTTCTCTTACTTTTTTCTTTCCTAGATTTGACCCTGACTTTCTTTACGGAAAACAACAGACCTTCAGAATGTATTTTTATTTATTTGTTTTTTCTCTTACAGCAAGAAATCATGTCCTATATATGCTCTCACCAAGATTTTCTGTCAAGCAAAATAGCAGAATGCTGTAAACTGCCCACCCTCCAACGTGGCCACTGCATAATTCAAGCGGAAAATGATGATAAACCTGAGGGTCTATCTCCAAATCTAAACAACTTTTTAGGAGACAGAGATTTCAACCAATTCTCGTCAGAAGAAAAAGATTCCTTTTTGGCAAGGTAACATTGTGCATGCGTACTCACATAAGGGAAGTGTGGCCAACTGCTTTGTGTTGTTGAAATGAAGAGTTGAAATGGTTGGAGTTGGGTTTTTAGTTTAGTAGCAGAAGCTCTGGCTGCTTAGTGTTAGAAAGTTGTGCCGCCGAACACAAAGGTACAGTTTGGATCCACCAGCGCTCTGCTGAAGAAAGATGGGCCGTTAACTCCTTTGCTATTTACTGTCTCTGAAAACACACCAGAGGTCAACTATGAGTCAGTTTTGACTTGATGGTACATAACTATTCAAAAGAACATGGAGCTCTGGTAGCCTAGTGGCAAGAAGCTGCACTGAAATCTCAGAGGTATGTGGTTTGAATCCACCAGATAGATTCTCTGTGGAGAAGGAGGGGAAATCTCTTCCTGTACCTCAGATCTGATTTGATGGTACACACACACTAATAAAACTAAAGATTTTTTTTTTAAAAAACAAAAAACCAACAAAAGAGGATGATATGAAATGCTCCAAATGTAAATATACTTAAGCAGATAATCCAGGAAGTAAGAGGTGGATGTAGCTTGTGATCAGACTTCCTTCACCACTGCCATTACCTGGCTTGATCATGAAGCTGTATTTTAATGTGTGTTATCAAATCCTCTGGAATAAAAAGCACTGTCAGGTCTACGTGAGTTATTCATATGGAGGCAACTAGGCAACTATCGTAATTTTGAGCAAGATGTGAATTTTTCTGTAAAACAGAAGAGTAGTCAAAATGAAAACAGGAGAGTAGTCTAAATGAAAATATTCCCTAAAGTCAAACACAGTAGACAATGCTAAATAAAAGGATATTCATTGAAATAGTTCATTTGCTATTTATTGGCTTTCAAATTAATTGTTGTAGAACCCAGGTTTGACTAGTAACTGACCCTCTGGCTGTGTTGGTTTTTTTTTTTTTTGTGATTGTAAATTACCTGGGGGGAGATTTCCCATTTTCATCTGTTGAAGCACCAGGCGAATTTGAACTGTCAGGAAGGTGCTGCTCCCTCTGGGTTAACAGCACACCTTCCTACGGAATCCACCATCAAGACTCCCTGTTTATTGATACATCTTTTGTTTTTGTGAGACAATCAAAGCTTGTTTAGAGACATTTGTAGCATAACAGATTGATGTAATATTATTGATAAATCATGTCCTCATTTTACTTGCCTTTAGAGGAAGAGCATATTCTAGTTAATACCCCCCCTTTTTGGGGGCTCTGTGTGTCTGTGGCCGATATTATAGAAGGTATTTTTTTTATAGAAGGTATTTGTAGAGCTCCACATGAACTCTAAAGGTCTTCCTGAATTTGAGTCTATGACTCTAATGTAGTGATGAAAATAATGGCTCAATTTCCGTTCTAAAATCCCTTAGGCTTACTGCTTTATTGTTCTATTAAAATTGAACTGTTACCCATAATTTGTGCTGTTAAATGAAATCATGCAACTAAGAACAAAGTCTAGATTTTACAAATACATATTGACAGTAAATGGGAGCGCAACTAAAGGCTAGTAATTCATTTCTATAGCATGGAAATGCAATTTGTAAATTGAGGAATTTTCATTACATTTATATAATACACATCTTACACTAGTTAATGGTTTAATAGAAACACAGTTCTCCAAGTGGAAAGGTTTTTTTGCAGTAGCTAGTTTTCTGCTGACAGTGATCCTCCCCCAAACATTTTTATGTTCCTTTTGCCCACATCTCTGTTCAGAGATCAGTTACCCAGGGAGGTTTTTCTTGACCACATGTTCTAAATTAATGATCCCTCCACCTCATGCATTATACCTTCCATCATTTCCATTTTCCTTTATTGCTCCTCATTGATTTATCACTACCTGCAATCAGAGAACTAGTTATTTAGTTGTCTGTGTCTGACTCCCTATAGCGGGAGAAAGATGCAGAAGTGCCCTTTTCTAAAGACTTCAATCTTGGAAATCCTAAGAAACCACTCTAAACTTTCCTATATTGAGTTGCTAAGAGTAAGAATCTACTTGATATAGATGGGTTTTATTTGGGTAAGTGTCCCTATAAGGGAAGTCTGGTGACCTAGTCTGTAAGGAATTGCATTGCCAACTCAAAAGCAGGAGGTTCAAATTCACCAGCTGTTCTGAGAGAAAAAGATGGGCAATCTCTTCCTGTCTAATTTAAAGCCTTTGAGTAGCTGTTGCAGGGTCACCTCTGAGTTGGTTCTGACTCTATGGTAATGAGAGAGAGCTTGAGCTCTATAAGGCACACTTAAAAAATTATTCTAGTAAAAATATAAGGAACACAATATATGCAAATTCAGTATTTTCACATGTATAATAAAAGTAGTTTTAATGAGAAACCATCATTAATATCTTTCATAAATTTTGATATAATTTTTGACAGTAGGGATGCTAATTTAAGTAATACTAACATTAAGAAAATACACTGCACAAATTACTGTAAAGTTCATAACGGAAAAGCCCAAATGAGAGGTAGAAAAAAAGAACAAAACACCTTTTAATAGGCTAATTTGGAAGTTTTCAGCTTGTATTAATAATTTTGCCACTTTCTATTCCAAATCATATTGGATTTCTACGTTTATGTATTTGAATATCCACTTTTACTGCATGTTGTACAGGAGAAATTAGGGAAGAGAATGGGTTTTTATAGTTCATTTATCTGAAGAAAACATCATAATAACATATTTTCCATACATGTTTTAGCTTTACTTATGAATATGCGAGACGTCATCCTGAGCTTGCAGTCCCAGTAATTCTAAGGGTAACTGAAGGATACAAAAAATTACTGGAGAAGTGCTCCCAGTCTGAAAATCGACTTGAATGCCAGGATAAAGGGGTACGTTGTTGAAGATATTTAGGAAGAATCTGAAACACAGAACTGGTATCATCCATTTAAAATGCTGCGTTTATTTGAAAGTGTTTACTAATTAGGTTGTAGCCACCATGCCAATTACTCTCATTCGTCTTCCTCAGTTTTTTCTAACTCTCTCCTTTACTAAGCTTGATGTCCTTCTCTAAGGGCTATTCTGTCCTGATAATTATAATTGTTGTTGTTGCTAGATGTAGTCACATCAGCCACTATTCATAGTGATCCTATGAGCAACACATCTAAACCTTACCCTTTGCTGCATCATCCTTTCTGATATGCTCCAATTCATTGTTACAGTTACTGTATCAATCCTTCTAAATGAGGATCTTTTTCTTCTTCTTTTTTACATTTTTCTTCTGACCCTTCACCTTTCTAAGCATGTCTTTTCTAAGGTCTAGTCCCTTAGTGGCTTGGAAATAAATGTTCACCAAGAAGTTCTTAGGAATATACACAAAAAAGATAACGCTTCCACAATTTCAGAAAGGGAAAAATTTTGTTCAAAATGGCTATGACTATTCACTAAAGATTGAGTTCTGCCATACTTAATTTTGTGACTTCACAGGTTTTAAATTCAATCTCTACAAGTTCTACTTGTCTTACATTTCAAAACTCACATCTTACGATTTTTAATATAAAAACCTTGAAGAATGGTTTCATAGTAGAATGAAATATTACCAGTTCGTTTATATACAGTTTAATGTCTGGTAAGGAAAAAAAAAAGTATTAATTAATGTTTGCATTTCCAGGAAGAAGAATTAGAAAAATACATCCAGGAGAGCCAGGCACTGGGAAAGAAAAGCTGTGCTCGCTACCAGAAATTGGGAGAATATTACCTACAAAATGCGTATGTTTTTAGAAATTGCGTTTTTGGTGATTTAAAATTATTACCAGGCAAGGAAATACAGTTCAAAGAGACTCATAGTTATTCTGAATTTCAATCCTTCTTTCTGACTGTAAGTCAGTGTAAGAAGATGTCTGCTTCTCCCTGAGTGAGAGCAGCACTCCCTGACACTCTCATAGATATTGATTTGTGAAGACCTGATCTTAGAGCTCTGTTGGCCTAGTGAGTAAGGAGTTGCTCTGCCAACCCTAAGGCAAGTGGTTTGAATCCACCATATACTTTGTAGGAAAAAGACAATCTCCTCATTGCTATGAATTGGTTCCGACTTGAAAGCAATGAGTGAATGACTGAGATCTTTGATTTAAAATATGGCAAAAATTTTTGTAGAAGAGAGAACCATCCTTTCGAAGTAAAGATAAAAATTAATATCAATAGAGTTTTTACATATTTTTAAACATTTATTTTTGTTTTAAATTTTCTGCTAGTTTATGTACAGAATTCAAATACATTGTCAATAACAAATTCTTTGTATTTTCCTCATCCCCCAACCCAGAAAATTGTACAACTCCATGATTAATCCCCCTTCCCCCTGCACCTCCTCATCCCTCTGATTCCAACTTCTCCCACCACTCCACGAGTCAGTCTTATATTTAGAGTTTCTCTTCCCAGAAAAATATTCTGGTATAAGAGACATCTAGTAAGTGGTTGTTGTTGTTGTTGATTGCCTTCAAATGGGGCACAACTCACAACGACCCTAAGAACAAAAGGCCTGAAGCCCCTCTACAACTATTGACATCAAAGTTCACAGAGTTTCCAGAGGCATGTTGTTTAGGAAGTGGGTTGTTCAGGAACTTTATAGTAAAAGTTGACCCACAAGATATGTGAAAAAAATGGACTGATCTCATGTCTTCTGATACCAGAATCAGCTAGCATAGAAGGTCCTTGCGAAGGAAAGCATTTAAGTCTCACGGATTATTCACCAAGACTTGTGGGAAATGCTTCTTGCAGGTTCATGGTTGCCTATACAAAGAAAGCCCCTCAACTGACCACACCAGAGCTGATGGCCATCACTAGGAAAATGGCGGCCACAGGAAGCACTTGCTGCCCCCTCAGTGAGGACAAGCAACTGGCCTGTGGGGAGAACGCGGTGAGTACTTGTGGACCAGTCCCATCTTCTTTTTGCCCTGTTGTACTTTAAAACTTCATCATTCCCATCTGGGGGAAAATCGTAAAGACTGATGTGAAAATGGCTATATGGGGCTTGTTCCACGCATTTCACATTGAAGACCATGAGAATTCACCTTCGCCTGGTTAGCATGTGGCCAGTCATTCTGTTTTAGCATGGCTACCAGAAGTAAAGCTAGTTTATTCATCAAAATCTGAGCATACTCATGTGCAGGAAAGCTGGAGTGGCCAAAAGGTTCTTCAGTCTACGATTTCCTCTTTGTTTACAAAATTGTGTTTTTAGAAAGCCTTACTTATGATTATATGTAGTTATGTTTGTATTGTTTGCCTTTTTATAGCTTAATTTGTAGCATAATCTTGTTCTTATTATGTTATTGTAGAAAATTTGTTCTCTTTGACAACCATTGGTAAGTCTTAGTCTTAAATTCTGAAGAATAACATGACTTTCAGTTAGTTAGACCCACAATTTTTACTTGGTAATATTACCACTGTCATATATATATCCTTATATATTTTATTTTTATTTTTTTTGTCTTAAAATCTCAGTTGTGGAA